CAATCCCAAATTCATGTTTGTGCTTGAGTGTGCTTAACTTAGGTGCTAGTATAGTTGACAGATGCAAGTGTGAAGTGTCTGGAGAGAGGCAACCTGCAGGTATGTAACCCTACCTGGCTGAGCTGGTGAGGGTTGTACTTGCAAAAGCCTCTGAAAGTGTTAACAGGCTGTCATTACAATCCCTTTGTCATTACAGATAGCTGTAAAGTTCTTCCAAATTCTCTGTGTTTGTGCTAGGTGGAGTGAGCAGCAGCTGCTGTTGTTGGGTCTGTAGTATGTTACAGCAGCAATTTATTCCATGGTTTTCTCACTAGATTGCAGTCTCTGCAGAAACACAGGCTTTTCTTCCTGAGCTAGATGGGACTTTGAATTCAAACAAACTCACAGTACCTGAGCCCCAGACCCTCAATCATTGTGGATATAATGGCTAATATACCAAAGAGCATATGCTGTGTCTGACAAACTTTAGTAAAACACATTAAAGTTGGAGTCTGGAGAATTCAGATCTGCGTGTTCAACAAGCAGAAGAATTTGGAGCAGAATTCAAACTCTCTCCTTACATAAAATGGCTCTGAGCTTAAAATGTTATTTTTGTATTAATGTTATAATATTATTTTTAGCATCAATGGCAATCAGTATGTAATTGGCAGTGATCTCATGCACACTCCTGGGTACAGACTGTTCTTTCCCAGTTTCAGAGTATTTGCTTGTTATTGCTGAATTACAGGCACAGAAGAGGCCCCACAGTCATTAAAACTCTCCCTGACAGGGCTCTTGCCATCGAGTACTCGGCAGTTAACCTCTCTGTGTGTCTCCAGATGAAGTTAGGACAGAAAATTTCTGTTTGTGGAAATCCTTCTCTTAGGCCTGTGTTTGGTGATACACATGCACAATGTCACACTTCATCATCTTTGAAATATGGCCCTGCAAAGGGATGAAAACTCTCCAGAGATTCTTTTTAGCAGCTTCCAGTACTTAAAGGGGCTGGAGGGGGACTTCTGCAAAGGCATGGAGTGACAGGACAAGAGGAAAGGGCTTTAAACTGACAGAGGGTAGGACTGTAGGAGAGGCAGAGTTGAAATATGTTCTCTTGGGTGGCATGTGATGTGTTTGACACCGTATAATACCAAGTAATGTAATAGGGTAGCCTCTCAAATGAGTTCACTTTGGATAGAGCCTCCTCTGATCTGTGTCTGTTTTAGAGAGGTTTGGTCTGTTGCAAAGACAAAAATGGTGCTTTCCTTAATAACTTTTTTTGTGTTCTTTGGATGAGATCTATACAAAATTAAAAATAGCAATGTTTGGTGTTGGTTTGAAAATAATGTTTTCATCTTTGTCTGTGGACAGATACAGGCTATATTAGTAGGCTCTCTGCTTCTCATTTCGTCCTGGGACAGCCTTCCATTTTTTCAGTGATTTGCAAGCACAGAAATAAGGAGGTGCTACTAACAAATAGGTGGATAAAAGTTGAGAAAAATGATGATTCAGATGGTAAACTCACTGACATATGTGCTATGGTACTGTCAGAACTGGGATTGCCTGGTTTCCCGATCATCTCTCTGCAAGATGACTTTGTCCTGTCTTGAATGTCTCAGACATCCATGACAAAGTCTGCAGTTAATCCAGCACTGTAAAAATAAAATACTGCAGAGCAAGTAAAGCCCATCTTCCTGTAGCCAGCTGAAAACCAGACGTGCTGCTTTTGTTTGTACCCTTGAACTTCACAAATGAACACAACTTATTGTCAGCAGCTGCTGCTGTTCTAAGCTCAGAGTGCTGAGTTTCATTTCCTCTGCACTGCAAATGTGTGCGTTCTGCTGTCATGTATGGAGCCTATCTTGAAATCATTGTACTGTAAAAATCATGCTTGGCTGTGGCGACAGCAATCGAGAGAGAAATGCAAATTAGAGGTGGGCAGAAGTTTTTGGGTTTTAACACTTGCATTTTTGGTATTTAACACTTGCACCAACAGGTGTGGGATTGCGTGAGGCTGGATTTCACTGTCCATCTGGGGTATTTGTTACGTGTCCTTATTTTTCAATGTATAGCTCTTGGTTTTACAGTTGTTGTACAGGCCCTGCTTTATTTTTAGTCCTTGCTCCTCCCAGAGAGATGCCCCTGCAGACACTGGGTGTCCTCCTGTGGGGAGGTTTTGTGGTGTTCACTGTCCCTGCAGGCAGGGAAGAGTTACAGCCGAGCCTCGTTTTGTGTCTGCCTTTGAAGCCTTTAGAATTCATTTGTTATTTCAGATTCCAGCGTGTAGACTTGGAAAAGCATTTCCCAGAGGGGGCAAAGCACTTGAAGGAGGAAGACAGTTTAAAGAGGTGAACTGCACACCAGTAAATCTGCTGTTTGCTTTGCTTTTTTTCTCCTGAGGTTTCCTCACAGCTTTCTACTGCTCTGTGCCAGTGCAGTGCAGCAGCCAGGTGGGATCTCTGCTTCAGAGCCCGGAGCTGCGGCCCCTGGCACTCCCAGGGAAGCTGCACAGCTTGCCCAGCACTCCTGGGCACGGGGAGAAACATGGAGAGCAAAGATCCCGACAGGAACACCACATAGATATTATGTCAGATGCTGTTTGAAACAAAAACAGGCCCTCACCTCATCTTCTGGCACTTTGTCAAACTCCAGAGGTTTGGGTGGGGCAGGAGGGCAGAGTGTGGCCAAGGCTGTGGGCTCCTGGGGACATGGCGGGGTTGTACCTGTTGCTCTGGTTCAGGCCAGTGTCTCATTTGTGGGTAGTAATCACCACAAAAAAACCAACAGTGAACATCTCCTCTCCCTTTATTAACTCCTTTATAAACAATGCATTTGCTGTACAGATTAGGATTTAGGGGGGTGTAGCCAGGTGGGGATTGTCTTCTCTCCCAGGTAACAGGTGACGGGATAAGAGGAAGTGACCTCAAGTTGTGCCAGGGAAGATTTGGGTTGGATATTAGGAAAAATTTATGCATGGAAAGGGTTGTCAAGCCCTGACACACGCTACCTAGGGCTGTGGTGGAGTCACCATCTCTGGAGGGATTTAAAAGACTTGTAGGTGTGGCACTTCAGGACATGGTTTAGTGGTGGACTTGGCAGTGCTGGGGTAATGGTTGGAGTCCATGATCCTGAAAGTCTATTTCTACTTAAATGAATCTGTGATTCTGTATAAAATGCTGTTCTTCTCTTCTCCTTAAAAAAAAAAAAAAAAAGGCAGAAAAAATAATTTAATTTCACGTGTTCCCTTAAAACTTGAAATTAAAAAAAAAAAAAATTCTCCCTAAACTAGAAAGATATTGTTTGTTTGAAAAATGTTTGCATTTTGGTTTATGAGTTGTTGCCAGGGTTTTTGTGGGGCTTTTTTTTTTTTTTTTTTTTTAAATTCCTCTCTATCCTTCTGTGTTGGACTGCTAAAGCTAATTGCAAACTGAACGTATTTATGGAGAGAGAATCACTTCATCCTCTCACAAAACAACATCTTCCAGTGGATAAACTATTCAAACATTTCTCATTGCTGAGCTTCAGAGGTCAAACTGATACTGACTTCCTGCATGGCCTTGGATAAGTCATTATCTCCCTCCTCTTTCTCTGCAAACCCTGATTGTTTAGTTCCTCCCAGAAGAGGTGTGAGGAAGAATTAGCTCATGCTGGTAAAATGTTTTGAATACAAAATGTGATTCACAGGTGCTAAAAGATGATCCCATCAATCATCATTAGTGATGCTGTCATTTCCCAGCCTCGGATTTTTGGTTAGGTCTTCCACAAGTGGAAAGGAAACAGGACAGACTCAAACAGTCTATCAGTATTTATACTCCTGTCTTCAGATGTTTTAATAACAATTCATCATTTATTTCATCTGCTGCTGATCACATTTAGAAATGTTGATGTTTTCTGGCCTATGGGTCTAAAAATTGTGTCCCCTGCTAGTCTGAGGACTGATTCCCATGGTTGGAGCAAAGGCAGCTCAGCCTCACCCACCCCTGGCTGTCCCCTTTGATAGACACATGTAAGTGCCCCTTGGTTCTGTTCTAGCCTGTCACATCATTCCTAGAGCAGATTGCCACGTTCTCTGCTGTCTCTCAGATCCTGTGAGACTCCTCCCTGTTCTTTGCTGTTGTAAACTCACTGTGCTGTTGATGGGCAAGGACAAGTTCCCGTGGTATTAAGTCTCCACCTATCACAGGGATAAAATTGTGAAGCAAAGCCTTATTCTGCTGCAGACAAATATTTTACATGGTCTACTCCTTTTCCTTTATATGATACATTTTAAACATTGCAACATTATGGGCTGTGTATTTATCAAAGAGCACCCAGCGTGGAGAAGCTCTTAACATGATGGTTAAGAGCCAACACCTGAGCCTGGCTCTGACCCTCCCAGGGAGCCCAGATGTCTGCAGCTGCTCACACAGGGCTTATTGCTCCCACAACTTCCCAGCTGCAGGAAGCCTGCAGTGCACCCACCCGATGGGAACACTTCTCCAAAGTTCTAGTATGTAGAAACTGGGAAAAAAGAATAAGATTGGGAGGGGTTTGGTTTGTAGCAAAGTTGCTTCACTGGAAGAAAGCTCAGACTATAGTCCATGGTCAGGTGGTTCTTTCTGCAGAGGAATGGGGCAGTTCCTGGGATACCAAAATGTAATCATTATCTCAAGGAGGGGAGGAAAGCACTGAAGGATCTACCCGCTCTCACTCCACTAAAATCTGTGTTGGTTTTGTCACTGATGTTTAATGGTGGCAGGGTTAAGTGTCTGGTTAATCACTGCTCATAAACCTGAGTAAAACCCCCTTGCTCCGTCTGAGATGGGGGTTGGACTCTGGCCCAGTGAGGAAGGGTGTACCAGTGTGGGTGATTTGGGCAGCTCAGGGGCCTCTTAGCTCTGTCTTTCTGCTGTGAACCCCAACGTGGGGATTTTTTGTAGTATGTTGGATTGCAATTGATTTATGTTGTCATGTAAGAAATGCTTGTGATGCATGGGATATGACTATTTTAGTAAGATGAGTATAATTTTTCTCCCCATTTATAGGATGGCTATTTTTCCCACCGACCGAAAGAGAAAATGCGAACAGACAGCAATAATGAAAATTCAGTCCCCAAGGACTTTGAAACTATTGATAACAGTAACTTTGCTCCCAGGACTCAGAGGCAAAAACACCAGTCTGAGCTGGTGAAAAAACCCCTTAGCAAGCAAAAGGAGCACTTGAGAAAGAAACTGGAAGAGGAAAAGATGAAGGAGAACTTGCTGCTGGGGAAGAACTCCAATGAGGTGGTGCAGTTCAGTGATCACCCTGGAAAAAACAGCAGCAGCAGCAACAACAACAACAATCTGAAGGAGATTGACAGGTCTCCCAAAGAGCATCTTTTAAAAAAAATTGAAAACAGCTCCCCTGAACTGAAATATGACCAACCACCAAAGTGTGAGGTGACGGGCAAAGAGGCAATCTCAGCCATGTCCCGCTCTAAGTCTAAGCAGTGTCGCCAGGAGATCGCGGATGTTTATTGCCAGCACAAGGTCGGGAAGCTGATGCCGGAGAAGGTGACGCGTTTCTGTGCCCTGGAGGGTAAGTTGGTAGATGGTGAAGGAGAAATAACACAGTGTCTCGGGGAAGGAACTCCATGTATTTGTATTGGCCTTCTGATGAGACAGAGGGCTCTATTGCAGAAATGTGTAATGTACTTAGCCCACGAAAACGAGGGAGGGTTTGACGGTGTTTTAAACAGGGAATTATATGGATGTCACAAGATGCTTGGTCGATTCCTATAGAATATCTTTTCACTGCCACCAGATTTTTATTGCACAGTGTGATCTAGGTATTCAGCTGCTACTTCTGTTTCTTCTAGTTCTTAGTCTACAGACATAGAAGTGTACCGAAGTCTGGTTATTCTGTGCAGGAGTTACATGCTTTTTAGTGATCAGGGAACAGCCATTGTGAATTTTGATGCTTTATGCTAACCAATAAATGAGTGGCATTGCTGTTAAGGCCATATGGCTATTTTTCTGGCACAGTGAAGTCCTAAGCATTTTGATAACCCAGGTAACCATCAGAAGTATAGTAAAAAAAATTTTCAAAAGCATGGGGAAAATCCAATTTTGTGGCTGACTTCTATTTTTAATGTTCTTGAATCAGCAAAAGTTATTTTCAAAATCACTGCTGTAAAGAGTCAGTTACCTCTGCTGGCCTAAGCCAAGCTTTGATTTGTTGTCTTTGGTTTCTCCATGCCTTCAGATCACAAGTTACCTCTCAGCTTGCTGTCAGTTTGCATTTCTGAGCTGACCTTTTCCTTCTTTTCCGAGGCTACTTCACGTGCCACCATTTGCCAAGCTATAAGCTCCCCACAGAGCAAAGTGCCTTCTAAAAAAAAAAAGGCATTGATCTGTTGATCAAAGAGGGTATTGATCAAGGAGCAGCATTATCCACAGCAGCATTTGTTCATACAACAGTCCAGAGTCCCCCCCCCGTAACTTCAGCCCATGCACACAAGGATGTGCTGATGCCTTTGGCCGAGCTGAAAGTGGAGAGGAACTTTTACAAACTAGAGGATAGGTCTTGCTTTGAGATTACAGAGTAAACATGAGGACTAGGGAATGTTTATTTCTTTAATTAGGAATATTTAGTTATGTCTTCTAACCCTCACAGTACCAGTTTATTACACCATCACAAAGCAGTGGGTGCTATAGGGTCGTTTCAGTGTGGTGGAGAGGATGATCCATGTTGCTATTGCCTAAATTAGGAGGTTAAATTCTCAGTACAGACAGTGGAAAAGAAGAGGTGCCCCAGAGAATGTTTCTAAACAAGTGCATCTCCCTGTAATAAGATTCTTAGGTTTTTAATTTAGATGGTGTATGTTAACAGGATGAATGGTGGGAGCACCCCATTCCCCACTCCAGTGCATCTGTGGCTATTCTGTTTTTGTTTTTTACCATGTCTCTTTTGGTGTTTTTTCTCCCTCTCTTATCATGGTAATACTCCAAGTTGTTAAGCTGAATGAGCAGACATTGGGGACCAAGAATTAAGGGAACAGGTGGAAGGCTTGGTGTTCAGTGGGAAGATGGGAAGAGGAACAACAAAGGCAGCACAAGTTGAAGGGGAGATAAAAAGAACAACAGAGAATTAAGAATTTAGCAAAACCAGACATCAGTGACAGGCTGAGCATCAGCGAGTACCCCTGGGTGTCCCTGAGGTCCCAGAGAGGTGCCAAAGATGGAATTCATGGTGAAAAACATGTCCCTGCTGACAGAGCAGTCAGCTCTGGTCTGTTGATGGAGGTCAGCACCTTGCAGACACTGTCCTACAGTTTTTGGGCTCAAGGACATGTCTTAGCAATGTAATCGATGCTATATACCTTGTGTAGAGTAAATGCATCACGTATACAAATATGCAAGTGATGTCCTGGAGAGAGCTGGAAGATGTATTGTCATTAGCATGGGCACGCACTGCAACTGTGCAATTTTGCACACACCTATGATTCCATCCCCTGCCTGGTAATCTGTCTCCCAGGGATACAGGGTGACTTTCCAGAAGTTTTAAAAAACTGCCATTCTTAAAAACAGGTTTCTCAAGAAATATTTATTGCTCCTTTTTTAAATACAGATTTTATCTCTCGTGCCCTGCAGCTGGGATAATAGTGTGGTCTTAGAACCAAGTACAGTGTTATATTTTCCACTTGAAGCCTTTCAGCATCTATCTACATAGGACATTTATATAAATGCTCCTGTTGTAACAAGACACAGTGAAATGTTTAGAAAATCTGTAGGTCCCTTGAATTTCACAGCCCTGTTCAAGATACATTATCTGAGTTTGAGTTGTGGTCCCATATCTGTCCTCCCCACTGTAGCACATAAATAGTGCTGTCATTCACTCACAGAATGGCTCCATCCCTTATCAAAGGTGGTTTCATCAACTCTGGGGGTCCTTGAAAGGAGTTGGACTTGGTTAGGGATGTTTCTGAAGCTCTGGCCATCAGTTTTTGGGGATAGACACCCCACTGTTAGGATTGCTGGTAGGGGGAGATTGTGAGTAGCAGGTCTTGCTACTTTATGCATTAAAAAAGCTACATGCTGTTTGTCAGCACAAGTGAGACACTGCGGGCCTGAGTCTGTATTCAACATGTGAGTGTTGTTCCCTTCAGCTTTGTTTGAAAAAAGGTTTCCTGTCTGTTTTCAGCAGAGCTGTGAAGTATAAATATTTATGCGTTTGGAGCAGCACATTCATCCATTATCCCAACATATAAACATGTTCCCAGTGCTGTGGTTTCCACTGAGATGTCATCCATTGTTTAATCCCCTTGGATCTTGTCTCAGCTGATCAAAACCACAACGTTGCTAAGTGTAGCTATCAGTCATGGGCTCCATCCAACTGGATTGTCATAAATGTTAAGTGATATGTTCACTTGGGTGGTTATCAACAGGGACAGGATCATACAAGCTGTTTCTTTTTTAAATATTTTATTGTTTCCAAAGGCAACAGGCAAAGGAAGTTGATTATAACTATCTTCAGTGTATAAAAGAAGGGATTGTTGAAACCAAGAGCATGATATTCACTGCTTGTTTGACATGCAGGTGTTATTTCTCTGGGGGCTGCAGTCTATCTAAGGGCATTGTTTCTGAAGCAACAAAACAGGGCAGGGCAGCTTTACCAGTTATCTGACCTGCAGAGCACGTGAGATGGCATTTCCCAGCAAACTGGTCCTAAAAACAGGGCAGAAATGCTATGGAATAGGACACTGGTGTCATAGGCTTTATGTGCAGCCTTATCCGAAGTCTTGGCTGAGATCAGGGCAACAGGCAGCTTGAAAGTCTCCACTCAGAAGGGAATGTTTGGAATTTGTAGAAGTGTGTTTTAGGGACAATGCAGTCAGCAAATGGGAAAGGGGGAATGTAGGTACAGGACAAGGTTAGATGAGGAAAGGGCAAATGCAGTCCTCTGCAGGTTGAAAAGAGGTTACAGGGAGACAGTTTTTGGGGAGTTCATTTCTTCTCAGGAGATATGATTTGGAGTCATCAACCTGTGGACAGTGTGGCAGATTGTTTCCTTGTGGGAGCCACCTTCAGCCTAGTCCTATACAGGCCAGACCAGGGACACTTGATTCTTGTAGTGTGACAGATTTGCTTCTGCTCACCAAAGCTGTTGGTGGCCGTGGACCAGCTGCCTCCCTTCTTTGCCTGTCATCACACATGGCCCTCCTCTTGTGCAGGGGTACTGGGAGAAAGCAGAAGTTTAAATGGGAATTCTTGCCTCTAAAATAATCTTTGCCCTGTACCTAGATAAAATCCTCTGACAAAGCACAAGTGGCGTGATCTGCTGCCAGCAGAATCTCTTATTACCATGGGCAGGAGCACAGACTGTGACCCTGACCATGACTGCTGAGGTTGCTGCCCAACAGCAAGGGGTAGCAATGCAATTGCAATTATACAACTCCACATTTCAACTTGATACTGATGTTGTGATTTCTGCTCACAGGCTTCCTTTCACGATGAAAGTAGCCCAGCTGCTGACCCACTGGCTGGGTTCAGTCCCCTGGTTCTCTGGTTTTCACTTCCATGTGGATCGTGGTAGTTTGTAGCTCTGAATCCCTTGCCTTGCAAGTTTACTGGATGGATATTGAGCACAGTTCCTCCTTAGTCATCAGCACCAGATCCATGAGGTCCGTGAGTCATCACAGGCACCGTGCCAAGTGGTATCTGCACCAGGCCTCCTCTGGGCCACCTTCTCTGGGCTGCCATATCCCTAGGGGAGACTGGTCTAATCCTTATTATTAATTACCCAACTGGGTGTATTCTTGACCCAAATCTATGGCTCTAGGTAGACTAAAGGTGTGTAGCAGGGTTTTTTGAGGGGTGTTTTCTGGCAAAAGAAAAGTCCCTAGGAAAGCAGAAAGCCTCAAGTGAGCCTGATTTATTTCCCTTTGGCTCTTCTGTTGTCTTTTCTTAGTTTTTAAATCAAACAGGTTTTCTGCTGCCTTCTTCCCTGTGGAGTAAACCCAGATTATAGTAATGTAGGAAAATAATCAAGCTGCCCTCATTCCACATCATTCATCAGACTGCCTTCTCCCAGGTTGCTTATTGATAATGCTGCTCTGGCACATCGAAGCAAGAGCTTTCAGCTTCTTACAGGCTGCTGAGGAGAAAATTTTCCATTTCGTTTTAGAAAACACAGCCTTTTGGTTTTCAAACTGAGAGAAAAGGGCTCTGGAGCTCTGTTTACTGAATAATACACACAGGTAATAGCAATCTGAATGTCTATAGTGTTTTTATCTGACTGCTTCAAAGCACTCAACGGGAAGAGCTGTGTTTCGCAGGAAGGGAGAGGATAAGCCACTAAGATGCCAAATACTTACGGGGTGGAGCAGAGTTGTTCTTTAAGGCATGGAAATGAGAGCATCCTCTAAAATTTTAAAAGAATGGGACCTGTAACTAAGCAAATAGAGGATTTCATCCACTCACTATGCCTGTATGCATAGTGACGTATAGATTTTTGATTTGTTCAGCTTTTAAGTGTTTGGCAGCGCATTTTTGGACTCGCTAGGTTTGATCTACAGATCATTGAACCCCAGATTTGTC